TATTATTATATTTTTTTTTTTTTGCTTATTGGTATTGATTATTTCCTGTAATTTGTGGGCACATATAATAGAAAACTTTTATTTACTCACCAATTTAATGTCAAATTTATGAATTAATTAAAGAATATTATCTTGTCTTAGATTTAGGATGAAATTTGTACAAGTAAGAGTCTGTTAAATTCTAATATTGAATAAGCAAAACTAAATTTCTTTTCCCAAGTTCTTGTAAAATAGAATTCTGAGATTTGTTTTTATACATAACACTAAGTAGTATATTCATAGTTACAAAAAGCTACTAATTCCCCAGTTGACCATATAGTTACTTTCTTAGGTTGAAACTGAACCAATGCATTAAAATTGCAATGCCAAAAATCAGTTAGCCTTGATGGATTAATCAAAAAAGTTAAAAACAAAAACTTTATCACATGCCATATAAAATATACATTCGTGTAAGTTAGAAATTAAATTCTAAATGTTTGACTTGCATCAAAAAATTGCAATTCCAACAATTGGATAGATTAATCTTGTTATTCATCAAAAAGCATAATGGTTTGTGACAAAATTTTTTGGATGAAATCAACAAATTTTGCTTGTTTGTAATGTACTTAGTGGCCCATTTTATTAAAAAATAGGCTTTTAATGCTGTACCAGTAAAATAAAAAAATCGAAATACGAGGAATAGTCAGTCTTGTCCATGAAGACATAAGATAGTTTTTGATGAAATAGTAAACCAATAAAATATGTTGGTTCAGGTTTGATTGTTTTGTGGGACTATTAAATTATATTCTATTAGTTCATACTGATCCAACAAAAAGCTAGACAGATTTCCTAATATGGGGTGATGGTCAGTCTTAATGGTATCATCAAAGAGAAAGATGGTTTATAATGGACGCTTATGAGTGTAACCATCTTATTCATGTGGTCCATTATCAGAAAACCGTCAAAAATTTTGTTTTGGGATCTATATTAAGATATTGAATTGAGAGATATTAAGGAGATTATTCATTCAACTAATATATGTTGAATTTCTGTTCGAATATTAGTAGCGGAAAATGTTGCACTATATTTTTATTCAGTTCATCTGTTCTTAAGCTAGACCACTCTTAAATAAAAATATTTTATTATAAATTTTAATCGGCCTAAGGAAAGAGTTATGCAATTTCATATGGTACATATTGCATTGAAAAAAGTTGAGAAATAAACTATTGAACATTTAGTTCTCGTAGTTAAACATTACAAGAAAATAAAAACGTACTTTCTTTTTTTGAAAGCATAATGTATTCTTAAATAAACACTTCAATGCAAAGCACAAATTAAATTTATTGCTAGAGTAATTTTTGTCCTTGTATATGCTAATGAAATAACTTATTTTTCAATGTCACAGACCACATATAAGAAAATCCTTTTAAGCAAAACATGACAAGGAAAATTCCACGAATCTTTTGATTCGGTAATCTGGTTTTTCAATACCTATAAAAAAAAAGAAGAAAAATCTAAACTTTTAAACAACTTTTAATTTTCTCAATGGGTGAAAAATTCTGATAGTTAGGCCCCCCATGCTCATGTCTATGATTAAATGTATATTACAGGACATATTCAGTTCAGTACATTGTTTCTATCGTAGTTCAAAGTGTGTATATATCTTTTTGAACCACTCAAACAAACAACAATTTTGTAAAAAATAGATAAATAAAAATAAATAAGTTAAAAAAAATGAAAATAAATACATTAAAAAAAACCATGTGTTACCTACCAAGTCATGTGCTTTTTCACGCTACGCCTATAAATTTTAACAGATTTTTATTTATTTATTATTTTTTTTTAAATTTGAAACATAAAATCTGCAACTTTATACAGAAAACGATTAAATTCCTATTTTTAACTTTTATTAAATTTTATTGTTTTATAAAACTCACTGAAATAAAAAAAAAATTCTGGTTTTAATCTCTTCAGTTGCTTATTTAAAAAAAAAAAAAATTCTTTACTTGGAAAAGTACGATATTGGAGAATAGAATCTCTGAGTCTATAGTGTTTACGAGTGATTTAATTCATTTTTATATATATAATGGCAATTAAATTTTAGTTTTAATTAAAAAAAAAAAGAAAATCCAAATCCGAAAAAATATTTTATGGAACTAACAACAGCCATAAAAATATATTTGTTTTCAATATTTTTAGCTTCATATTTTCACTCATAGATAGCAGCACGGCAATAAATATTTCCTGCCAAAACTTTACGTGACTATGTAAATTGAAGGGATTTTCGCGAAGTTAACTGTTTTAAGACGTTTAAAATGTTAAATTCTCCTTAAAAAAATTAATTTTTAATGAATTAAATCAGATTTCAAAGTGGCAAAATTAGGGTGTGGAAATGGAAATAGTTTTTGAAGCTGTGAGAAATTCATTTATTTGTAAAATTTAAATATTTAAAAAAATTAATTATTGTAAACTTTTTTTTTCCTTTTAGTTGGAATGTTTTTCCGTTTTACAAGATATAATTTTTAAATTAAAAAAATAAACTGACAGGAATTTTTTTTTTTTTTTTTTTTTTTTTTTTTTTTTTTTNTTTTTTTTTTTTTTTTTTGAAGAAACACTTAAGTATGAAAAAAGATTTTTAATATTAGTAGATTTTTTAAGTTGTTAGATTTTGAAATTTCGTCTAAAAATGCTAAAATAACATCATTTATCAATTTAGCTACCGCGATGGAAAAAAGTTTTACTTGTTGAGTAAACTTTTAAAATAAATTTTACTAAAATCTACTGTTATTATTTTAGAAATGAATGTTAAAAAGTTTTAAGTGCCAAATTTTTATTAAATATGCTTATTTTATATTATTAATTTATAATGTTTAAATATGAACTTATATAAATGCTTTGAAAAAAGCTCTTGAGACCAGAAAGGATATTTAATGAAAATGCTTTTAAAATGTTTCATTACACTTTTAGTAATGTGTGATTCTGTTTTGGTCGAATAATTTTTAAAAAATGATTTGGGAAGGATTTTTGCAAATCATCTCTAATTACGGTTTTCGAAAGAGAAAATGGGCAATTTCTGTCTTGACTCCTTGATTACCGATTTCTGTTTAGAAATTGATTTGTATTTCATATTATTCAGTGGCCCTCATCCCCCCCAAGCTCTTGGGCAAATTCTAAATTCCCCCCCAAACTATTCGTTTTATTTAGTGTAAAAATTCCCCTCCAAGCTTTAAGTGGGCGCATCATGCGTCCACCTTGCCTCCTGGTGGGGGTCCCTGATATTATTCATAGTGGTCGGAAAAATTACATTATTTTTGTGGTTAACTACAACTACTTTATTGCATATGTGATTAACAGCAACTACTTTTTTTCAATTGTAGAGACTAAAAATTACTTGTTACTAATTTTAACACACGAAGTTTGCAGGAGATCTTAAATTAAATTTACACCCTTGCTCAAAATGGTTTAGAATAAAAACTGCCTTATTTAAACATGAAGAATTATTAAAAAATATTTATTAATGCTTACATGAGCCAGTTTGTTCTTCTAAACCATTTTTTGCTAATTTGTTCCTTTAATCTTCAACTTTTCATGCCTTTCTCGACAGAAAATATTCAATTTAAGAAATGCTTAGAAATTATCTGTACCATAAGTCCTGGGCTCTATTTTCGAACCGGTCAAGGTTGATTCAGCCAACAAAATGAATACTAAGCATGCTTGGAGACTTAACAGTGGGGTTTTCGCATTTGGCTGACCACCCAGACGGAAGTATGCACTTTATTTACGTCTCATTAGAGCTTCACAATGGGTTATAGGCGACGGTGTGGGAAACATCCCCGAGGATGATCCGTAGACATGTCATCACAATTTTAAACCTCCGCAGAGAGGATCGTATTTGTGATGTGAGGCAACACTTCCTCAATTTAGACAGATCTGCAGGGGAAGGAAATTTTCGCCTGATCCCTGTACCATGGTACTTCTCAACGACCCACCAAAGGACTTCCGATCTTACAAGCATATAAATAGCATGTATTCGGTGGGTATCATCCACCATATATTTTGACCAGAACCAGAGAGCATTCAATCTCCAATTTAGTACCCCCAGGGGTATTTGGTTGTTATGTTATAAATCGAGCATGCTATCAGCGAGCCTCACGCTATATTTGTTTATCTTGTAGAGTTGCACTTTCGTAATCTGGCTACTTCTATTTCTTATATATCTGAGTTTATTTTTTCTAATCGTTCTTTTCCTTTTTTATTTCTAAGTTCATATTAAATACTAATTTAAAATAGCTGTCACCTTTATTTTGCTAACATTTACAACAGTTATGTGAGCTTGGAAGACTTTGTAATCCCAACAGATTTTTTAACGTGCACCAGTCACCATTTAACAGTGATTCTTCAGCTGGCAGGATTCGAACTTTTGATCTCATGAGCACAAGCCCATCGTCCTACAAACCAGGCAATCCAGGCCTCAATGAACTTAGTTGCTTACATTACTTATACAATGATTCTATAAATATGTATACTAAGAGTGGTCATTATAAATCACCTGTTAGTATAAAAAAAAAAAAAAAAAAAAAAAAAAAAAAAAAAAAAANAAAAAAAAAAAAAAAAAAAAAAAAAAGATTTACCTTTTCGTAATGTTGCTTCTCGGGTTATGACTATTTCTTAGTCAAAACTATTGAGATTTAGAAAACAATTCTTTATTTAATAAGATTTTATACAGGTAATGTAAATGGATTTTTTTTACATATAACAGGTAATGTGTTTTATACAGATTTAAAATATGATAAGATGTGAACAATAATTAATGATGATACTTCCAATTTGAAAATTCTTAATCATCTTCATTTTCGTTTGGGGGAATTTTAGCTACAATTCCAGAATAATATTCTCCATAAGATTTTAAAACAGTTGCCCTAGAATAAATACATATTATATATATAGAAATTAGTTTTCTAATTAGTTAACAACAAGAATTTAAACAGCAAGTACATTGTAATTGATATTTGTTAATCATGCATCACCACGTAAAACTTAAACTTACCATAAGCATAAAATAGTTTTTCCTTAAACAATTGCTTCATGATATTAATTAATTTGGATATATTTTACAAACCGATAAATATGTACACAAGGTGTTCAGTAATGGAGGTATCTCTATTAATCTCATTTTAACCTCGCTTACATATTAATTTTCCTGGTGGAGCTAAGAGGTGATTCTAATAATCTTCTTTTTTCTCCTCTTTGTTTCCTCCAGCATTCAAACGGGTTTTTATGTTCTCAGTTATACCTGCCTCAGTAGATTTAAGTACAGTTTTTGTTTTGCCTCACTTAACCACTTGTGCTGGAATGGTGTGCCAAGCACGCTTGGGTAAATTTAAGTGTCCCAGGCCATAAGGTCGAGTTTAAAGACTCGCCGAAACAACTCAACTTTCCTTGCAGTACAAGGCAGCAATGTGAGCTCATCGGCACAAGATCCCGAGTTACGCATGATTATGACCTCCACACTTTAATCCGTGTAGAAAGAAGGTCAGCGAGCGAGCTAAAAGTACAAATCTGCGCAATGTTTTTGCCACAACATAGCCTACGGCATGACATGTCATAATGGTTGGCAGGCAACTATCACTTATGAATTATATATAAATAAAATTTTATATATACATTAAATGTATTATATATACATGTTATATATAAGTTATTATATATAAATATAATATATAATTATATATTATTATATATAAATAAAAATGAAATTCGTAGTTCGTATCACAGATAATAAAATATTATTTTCTTTTCTTAGTTTGAGTTAAATGTAATGAAATTCGAAGAAAGAAAGGGTGAACTCTTAGAAAACTTGTTTACTGTTTCTAATAACTTCTGTCATTTCATTGGTTTCTTACCGTATTCTTTTGATAACTTATTCTTTTATCTTTTCCCAAGCATACAAATTTCTGAAACAAGTGTGAAGGTCAGAAAAGAGTGACCTTTCAGTCAAAGAATGTCTAAAGTTTTTTTCTAATAACGCAGAGGTTTTTCTCACAATAGTTTCATCTCTAAAGACTTTTTTTCAACTATTTTTCTGATGATTTTTCATGTTCAGAAAGGAAATTTAGCAGTCAGAGAAAAATTTTCACCGGGAAAATGTTAAAAATAAAACTAAAGCTTTTCCTAATGATTTCTCCAATAATTTCAAGGTTTTTGCCCCAATAAGTTTCATTTCTAAAGACTTTTGCTAACTGTTTTTCTGATGATTTTTCCTGTTATGAAAGGAAAATTGGCAGCTTGTGAAAATTTTTTAACTGTATAAAAGTTAAAAACAAAACGTAAGTTTTTTTCCAATAATCTTGAGGTTTTTGCCACAATGAGTTTCATTTCTAAAGACTATTTTTTATTAACTATTTTTATGATGATTTTTCATGCTATGAAAGGAGAATTGCAGTCTGAGAAAAATTAAAAAAAAAAGATTCTAAAAAGGATTAGTACTATTCTATTAACGAGAATATATTAAACTAAACTCAGTGGAGTGACAGCCCATAGAAGGCCAAGGCCTACTGTGCCCATCTCAGCTTTCTTGACCTTGGGCTCTGGGGTGCAGGAGCAGATGTTCCGGTTAGGTGGTCAGCCGAACGCGAAACCCCCAGTGTTTAGTTCCCAAGCATGCTTGGTACTCATTTATCGACCCACTGAAGGGATGAAAGGCTGAGTCAACCTTGTCTGCCCCGAGGATCGAACCCAGGACCTGTGGCACGGAAGCGAACGAGAATATAAATTACTTAAATGGAATTGTTTTTTAACTGGAACTTCTTAAGCTTAACAAACTGGGCATAAAAATCCAAATTGTGAATTTTAAGTGATCAGAGGACTTTTCTTCATTATGTCCATGTTATGTTTCTTCATTATGTATGTCTATGTCCATGTGTTATGTTCATTATGTTTTGGAAGTATTTGTTGCAGGGTTTAAGACGTAATCAAGAGTTCTTTAGTATAAAATGTAAAATCAAAAAAAAAAATCTATCAAAATGTTAAAATGCTTCATAAGTTATGAAAAGAAATTAGCATACCACTCTAGAAGCCTTGATCCCAAATTTTAAAATTTCACTTTCAAACAAGATTTTTTGCAGATGACTAAAAGCTTCATATTCCCAGATAACAAATTAAGGTTTATTTTAACTCAGCAAAAACCTTTTTATGTAAACCTAAAAAGGTTCGTTATGCTGTTCATGTGTAAACCTTAAAACGCGATCTGAGACAACATTCTCTATTCTACGCACATTACCCTAATACAAAACCTTGGAAAACAACCTTCTATATCAAAACCTTAAACCGAGGTTGACGTAGGGTTTTCAAGCGTTAAAAAATCCTTTAATAAAGCTAGTCTCAAGGTGAAAATAATCTTAAATCTAGGTAATTAAAATGTTATTTTTAGCAAAGTCTTGTGTGATCAGCTAAAATCCAACTTGTCATTAAATTTTAATGGATAATGCAATTTGATCCTATCGCTAGTGTGACGTCAGCTTAGACGTCATTATGGACCTAAGTGACATTGCTTTTTAAAAAAGCGTTAAAAAATAATTTTTAATCCTTTTAGGATGAAAGGTTTGAAACTGCAATATTTTTGCTTTATTGAAAAAAGGTTTTTAGTACAAACATTTTCGTGACAATAAAAGGAGAACTCCGACTCAAGATTGTCATAAGGTCACATGCTTTCTGGGTTTTTCCTGCTAATTTCATTATTTGTTTTTAGCATAGAATTGGTGTTCTTTTTATTTTATTTGAGAAGTATTCTTCCATATCTACGTAGGTATTATAAGAATTTTACGCAAAATGTGATGTCGCTATTCTTATCATGATTTCGTCATTACGGACCTAAGTGACATTGCTTTTTAAAAAAGCGTTAAAAAATAATTTTTAATCCTTTTAGGATGAAAGGTTTGAAACTGCAATATTTTTGCTTTATTGAAAAAAGGTTTTTAGTACAAACATTTTCGAGACAATAAAAGGAGAACTCCGACTCAAGATTGTCATAAGGTCACATGCTTTCTGGGTTTTTCCTGCTAATTTCATTATTTGTTTTTAGCATAGAATTGATGTTCTTCTTATTTTGTTTGAGAAGTATTCTTCCATATCTACGTAGGTATTATAAGAATTTTACGCAAGATGTGATGTCGCTATTCTTATCATGATTTCGTCATTACGGACCTAAGTGACATTGCTTTTTAAAAAAGCGTAAAAAATAATTTTTAATCCTTTTAGGATGAAAGGTTTGAAACTGCAATATTTTTGCTTTATTGAAAAAAGGTTTTTAGTACAAACATTTTCGTGACAATAAAAGGAGAACTCCGACTCAAGATTGTCATAAGGTCACATGCTTTCTGGGTTTTTCCTGCTAATTTCATTATTTGTTTTTAGCATAGAATTGGTGTTCTTTTTATTTTGTTTGAGAAATATTCTTCCATATTTACGTAGGTATTATAAGAATTTTACGCAAGATGTGATGTCGCTATTCTTATCATGATTTATTCGTGAAAATTTTTTTTGCTTTATATAATTAACACTGGACATAAATTCAAGTTCATTATAAAGTTGGCATTAAGGTCGGACATAAGTCTTTTCACACATGTCACATTAGCTCATTTTGATGACCTGGAATCTTGTTTCATTCATATTAACGCGGATTCCCTCATTAACGACATAAGTTTCGCATCTCCACTCCGTATCATATGGAAATGCATTTTGTCCTAATTTGCTCCCTTCGACCACTAGTTTTTTTTTTTTTTTTACCTTAATTTATTACTTTATTTTCCGTTTCTCTCTTCTTTGATGGTTTTTCTAGTTTTGTTTTTCACTTTTATTTTACATTTTTCGTTGGCAATTTTAACTTATTCTGCTTCAAATCATTTTTATTTCCCTTATTCTTGTCTAGTGAGTTTTAAGAATAGGTGCCTATTTTTGAGCGTTAGAAACATGTTAACTTTGATTAACAGCTTCATGTTTTTTGTTGCAATAAGAGTTTTATATCATCAAGTTTATTTTTCCTCGTTAGTTTCTTAGGATTATTTATTTAACAAATAAAGGATGTCTGAAATTATATTGGTAGTCTTCAAAAATTTATTACAAGGAAGCAGCGCTAAAAAAAAAACCAGTTATTGCAGCAAATTCAAATGACAGTATATAAATTTTTTCTCCCTGAGTTTCTGGCTTTTGTTCCAAAGTTTTTCGATAGATGGCACAGTAAGTGCCAAGTAATTCTACCATTTTTTCTTTTGCGTTTTAGTGCATAGATATTTCCTTCTCCGATTACGAAAAAATATTGTGGCTAAGGACATTTTGATCATCATTACGTGATTTTCATTCAGAGACAGATTTTGAAAAATTGCGATTTTCAGTTATTTATTTATTTTTGATTTAAAGGTTTACTGCTTGAAATGCCATCTGTTAAAACAAAAATTTTAAAGTAAAAAGAGAAACTCTGGGAGAAAATATTTACGCCCTTTCACATGAACTTGCTGCAAAATTTTTTTATAGCTTTAACGATTTTCTTGTTAAAAAGTTCTAGAAACCGACAGTCTAACTTAATACTCTGCATATTCTTCAGTAATTTTTAGTGCAGAAATACCTACGTTTTAACAAAATGGAATAACAAGATATTTTCTAACTATAGTAGGATGGTATTCGAAAACATAGTTTTAAATCCAACATAAAAGTTTTTTATTTTATTTGTTCTAAATTAAACAGTTTTAAAAATAAATATTCATGTCATATTACAATAGTAAAAAAATTTTAAAAAGATTTTTTTTTTGTGCAATTTTTATATATTTTAACTAAAACTAAGTGTTAAAAATAAAGGCATGGCCCAATTAATAAGTATAAGCAGACGTAGATATTTTATTTTATTTATTGCCACTTTTTGAACAAAGAGCAAAAAGCATCGAAAATAATTTTAACTTGAATACAACTAAACAAATAACTTATATTAGGTACTTGGAAAGCTGCCACTTTCAATTTAATTTTATATCACTATTATTTTTGTAAATAATATGCCCATTAGTGCTTGCAAATAAGCTTAAGAAAAGGATGCATGCATTAGAAATTGCAAATGCCCTTTTGTTAAGAATTACCTTCTATCATTACTTTTTAGTAAATTTGTTTTCAATGATTTTAACCATCACCATTTTTTCTTGATCCCCTTCGAACGTGATTCGTTAAATTTTAATTACGTTTTTCCATGTTGAATATTAATTTTAAACCATTACTATTCAAAGTTTTTTGGCGTCATTTTTTTTAGTAGATTTTAAAAATATGTATTAAGGGTAGTAATTGTGGAACATCATGTATACAAATACTTGCATAAAAATATCTAGCAGGAATGCAAATACTTACATCATGTATACAAATACTTACATAAAAATGACTTCGCCTTTTGGACGATCTTTCGGAGGCTTCCACATTAAAATGACTTTCTTTTTGGCATAGGGATCTCCATGACTAATTGCTGAACAAGGCAATGTTTTCGTACCTTTAATTTTGACCCAGTCACCTATTCTTTCGTGTGTATTTGGATCTATTGCAGCAACTAAAAATCCTTTGAATCGAGGACCAGCTAACTGTACTGCACAAAAGAAAGATATTATTAGTTCTTGAAAAGTTAATTACCGTATGTTTCAGAATATAAGTTGAGAACTTTTGAAAATTTTCGAATGCTTAAGTTAAGAAACGAGGGGTTGTTTATAATCGGATCCGTTACCTTCGCATTTCGTGTTTCAATTTAGCAGCATTCTTTTCCGATAAATTAGAAATATGCAAAAATCAAAAGTTTCTTTACTTGATTCCCTCCTCCCCCTAAAAAACATTTTACTTAGATAAAAACAATGCAATACTCAAAAAATAAATTTAATGAAATGAATTATCTCGAACATTATTTTGCAAAAATTTAAGGTTCTTTAGAAAGTTCAAGTTGTATGGACTGATCTGAATACGATGGAGAGCAAATGAGAAGCGTACACTTTCGAAAAAATCAAATCCAGAAAAGGATTTACGTCTAGTTGGACAAATTTCAAGACAGTAAATTAACAAGTATGTCCCGAAATAAAAAATCGAAAGCGTGTCGTATTTCATCTGGATAATGCAGAACCCCATGCGTCTTTATAACTTGATAAAAATGTTAAAAGTATGTTGGGATGGTCTATCCCCTCCATCATATTCACTAAGCCTCGTGCTGTCAGATTTCCGGCTATTTCGATAGTCACAAAACTTTTCTTAATAAAAAGTTCAACTATTTGTCAGAGTTCAACTATTTGGTATTCACGTAGAAAAGTTTTCACCGAAATTCTCGAAAGGTTTTGGAATAACGGAATTTTAAGTTGCTTCGAAGATAGAGAAGGGTAATGGGAAAAAAAATGACGCGTATACATGCCACGTATAGTCAATTTGCATCACATCTGAAGTATAGAGTTTTTTTTGCTACATTTTGTAGAGTTTGAAATAGTCTTTTGAAATGTTGCATCTAGTAAGATTTTTAAAATATTTAAAAAAATTGTTTTGTAGTATGTATTTTCCTTTTTTCCTTTCAAAGTTAAAATTATTATGATTTGAATCATAAACGTTTCTTTTTGCTAAATCAAATTAATATTTAGCTTTATATACATACATTATAACATTGGTAGATTTAGTGCATTTTTTTAAAAATTTTATTTTTGTTTAGAGATGTAATTTTTCCTGATATCAAGAATACAATGTTATAATAATGGGTGCCACTCTAAAAAAATTTCAAGACTGAACTTATCTTTTGACCAATTAATATGATCTAGCGTTTTTTAGAGGAATTTTTCAGAAATTTACGGCGCTCTTCACAAGAGAATGATCTATATATTATATCATTAACTTTATTACTTAAAGATATATTTATTTTCTTCATTTTACTTTTTTATGGCAAGCAAAACAGAAATAATAACTGATTTCATATCTTTTTACACCAATCTTTATCAAATTTTGTCCTATTTCTCTATTATTTTTTTTAAAAATAATCCTATACTTCTTTTATTGATTAGACAGAAAATTGACATTTTTTTAAAAGAATTTTTTTTATTTATTTTTAAAACTTAATTTCCAAAACTATACGGGAATAAATATTAATTGGAGGTTGGATTTCATCTCACTGATCTTTTCTCAAGACTGATTTCAGTCCTCAGGACTAAAGAGTGGCATCCCTGGTTATAATTTGTTTAAAAATATTTTTAGTTATTTTATTTTTAAAAAAAAGTATCATCGTATTGTCTTAACCCCAATGACCCACTAAGCATTTTGCTTAGCTGGTCATCATGGAGTTTAAGACTTAGACAGCAATCGAACAAGTTTAGATATTTTCAGTTCCCCCTTCCTCAAAAGTGATCTGTTAGATTTCGATAGTATGTATATATATTATTTTTTTTCTTGCTTAAATGTAAATTTAATTTTAGGTGTAGGCATTTTTGGCAAAAATTCTTAATCTGTATATTAAGGATGGTGATAACAGAATTTCCATAGAATCGAAATTAATTTTCTTGTCTTGTACTTTCTGTATGTTTCAGAGTGTTAAAAATATTAAAAATAAGTGCTTTTTGGTTGAAGGATAAAGAAGAATCAGGATAATTTTTAAGAAAACTTTAAAGGAGATTTTTCGATGGTTTCGAGATCCTCAATACTCAGTTTTAGGTTAGTGTATATGTCCAATAAAATGAGCAGTCTAATAGAAAAACTGAAACTAAATTTCTTGATTGAAGTAAATGACTTTTTGTAAAATATTGGTCATTAACACCTACTTTAACATTTACTTATTCTCTTGATCTAGATTCATAATGAAACACTATTTCACATATGTATTCCTGATAGTACATATTATATATACTTTTGAAATTATTGGATATGCATTTTGAGGTAATTATAAATACGTACCAATATTGAGTATAGACTAAATTTAGGTAGTACCAACTTTTTAAGTATCAATTACAAGCACATATTGCGACAGCTGATTATTAGTTACTTCAACTTGAAGACTCTTATAAATTTTAATTTAGAAGTTTATTTAAAATAGTCTATGGGATGACAAATTAAAAATAACGTTTTAATTCATTGTTTTTATTAAATATTTTATTTTCTACCTTTTATTCCTAAATTACTTTTCTACCTAAAATTCAGGTTTACGAATAGTTTTGTGCTTGAAATAAAACTGCAAATAATCCAAATCAAACACAAAACTGCAAATATTTTGTTTGAAATAATTACATATTATGATTTCTTGTTTATTACCTATATATATTTTATTATCTGCAATGTAATGCTTAAATAAATATTAGAGGAAACCATAAAATAAACATTTAATATAAAAATAAGATAATAGCTGTTTAAAAAATGCCTATACTAGACAAAAATATATTTTTTTTTTTTTTTTTTTTGAAAAAAAAAAAAAGAAACATTTTGTTTTGCTTTTAGCGCTTGATCGAAGATAAACTCACCCATTCTCTATTTAAATTGCTATTTCATATTTTACACAGCCGTGTTGCTTATTACTGAGTAGTAATTTGAATAATGCAGTCACTTAATTTTCCATTGTCTCCATTGCAATAATTAAAAATATAATAGCTGAAAACTTTCAACTTTCTCTTAGTTTAAATAATTCATATCGAGAAATGTCAAATCACTGGATCTTTTTAAAATGAAATATACTGCTAGAAATTTCCAAAACAGTCATAAACATAAAATAGATGGTATTCAAACTTTAAACTGTGACAAAAATAGTTTATTGACTGTTTTCTGCTAATACGGTTCAACAACCAGAATTTTGCTCCCGTTAATTAGCTTCATTTTATGAAACCACTAAGTTCCTTGCAGCTACGTACATACTATAACCGAGAGGGCTAATCTGTGAATCTCATGTGCAGCTGAATGGGGGTTTGAATAGTTTTTTAACCATACCAGATGTTAATGGTTTCAAAATCCTGAAGACAAAGAAATGTTCCTGACTGTAAACTTTACGGTTAATTCACTGAAAATTCTGAAAGTACTTTTTTTAAAATTTCTAAATAACTCTCCTATTCTTTTATAAACTCACCGAAATAATTTTTAGTCTCTGTACTTAGTTTGTTGCCTTGTATTTAATTTTAAAAATTACGTTATTTAAATAAGCAACATTTTGCTCTTCGCACAAACATGCTCTAACTAAAGAGTTTGCTGGATTTTCTTTAAGTTTTTTTTTTAAATGTTAGTCTTCAACTGATTTCCATTTCCTTCAGAATTGTATCGGTCACTTGATTTCAGAATTCCTTGAAATTATTCCTCTTCTAGAAATTTGTTTTAAAAGTTAAGTAGGGATTATATATGGAATGTAGGGATTATTTAAAGTATGTAATAAAAGGATTATTTAAAATATGCATTTTAAAAACAAAAGGAAATTTATGTATTAAACAAGGGTCTTTTGTTTAGTAAAATATGAGCATTAATTCGTATCAACTGTGTGAGAAAAGACGGTAGTACCTCTATATATTATGAGTCTATACAGGGTGTCCCGTAAATATTAGGACTAACTTCTAGGCGCATCATGAGGATTTAGAATTACCTAGGAAACCATGACAGAAAATGTCATGTAACGCTGCTAGGGACGCTTTCTTATTATGGACATGTTGTTCACTTGCCGTTGAACTTGCACTTTCATTTTTCAAAATATTTTAATTTCATGTTAATCTTATGTTATTTTTTTATATCATAATTGTCGATAAACAGCCGACCCAATTTTCAGTTTACAGCTTCTAATGTTCAACGACGTAGCTTTGAACCAAATACAGAAAACAAGGGAACTCCTGAATCAATTATAGGGGGACATTTGCCTGCGTGGAGGACTGTTTGATGAAGCATACCCGAATTTGCGTTACACGGAGACGAAAACCATGAAAACCTCCCACGGCAAGCCTGATGGTCAGGAGACTCTAACCGACAGTCTACCAATGAATCCATCTACCACTGAAGTCCATCTAGCACTACTGACTACTACTGAAGATATTTTGTATTGTGGTCGGTGCGAGTCGGGTGCGGGATTCGTATCGACCAGTCACCGCTGGGATTCAAACCCTGTTCTCTTCATTGGAAGGCAAACGCTCTACCCATTGACCCACCACGGTTCTTTATGTTACTATTAGTTATTGCTCAGACTTCTATTAAAATAGGCTCTGAAATGATGTTTTATCGTAATTTAATGATCTGACGAACTTGTCCAGTTAGTAGCCAAATCATTCAATTACGATAAACAGCTAACACTGTACCTATTTTAAGGCAGTTTTTGACAATAATTAATAGAAAACAAAAAATTAAGATAATTAAGACAAACGAAAGTACCTGATTTTCAAAGGCACACTATGTAACTGTTCATAATAGGAGAGTGCCCTCAGCGGCATACGATAACATTTCCGATCATGATTTCCTAAATAATTCTTGATTCTTATGATGTTCCCTACTTCCCTTAGAAGTTAGTCGCAACATTTACGGAGCAAGGGCCGGGATAGCCTGGTCGGTAGGGCGCTGGACCCATGTCCAAGAGGTCGTGGGTTCGATCCTCGCCGGCCGAAGACTCCCCGTGTAGTAAATGGTGACTGATGTACGTTAAATCTATCGAATCTCAAAGTCCTCCATCTTCCCATAACAAATTAATACCTCTGGGGGTACTGATCCAGGAGTTTTCTTGTCTTCCGGATTGGTTCAAAATTACAAGGCTACGGAATTGAACATTGGTATTCGTAAACCCATGAAATTGGGTCGGCTGTTTAACGACGGTTATAAAATGAAATAAAACATTTACGGGATACCCTGTATGCACTCGTACAGCAAACATAATTTAAATTAACAGCAAACGATTTTAAATAATAGTTTCTTAACTTTAATTACCATCAGAATTAACCTATTTCTTTGCTATTGATTCTTGATGGGTGGCAAAACTTATGTGTTTTTCAGGCAAGGCTAAAAATTGGTTGTGGTGATGAATCCTAAAATTAAGAATTCGTTTATTGCAAAATAAACGTAAGTAAATATTTAGCAATAACTCAAAAAAAATTTTTTTTTCTTCAATATATTTTTGTATCTCAGTTAGCGTAGTGCGATCAAAAACGATTTAACAGTAATACGCTTTTGGCAATTTAAATATTATTACTTTTATACACAACTATTTAATACAACGCAAATAAGTAACATTGACGAGTATGTTCGTGAACTTCACCAATATAAAATATATTGTTTTACATTTGCCAATAAGTAAATTTTTACCTATTGATTTGTTTTGTTTTATGATTGACTATTTTGAGCTACTTTGATTAGTTCATGTTTTTCTGCATAAATTTTGACAAAAATTTGAATTTTTTTCTGTTTGAAAAGAATCATTGCTGTGTTTTTTAGATGATTGCATATAACACCAATGGGGGTTGAAAACATTCTAAGAAGGAATTTCTTCAAGCTTACACATTAGCTTTAGAACTGTACAATATCTAATTTAGATCAATCTCTTAGAATAATTACCAAAATATCACATGTTTGTAATAAAAATTACACTAATTACCATAATATCGCATATTTGTAACAAAAATTACATTAATTACCATAATATCACATATTTGTAATAAAAATAGCGTAATAAATATCCAAGTGATGAAACTCCAGTAAATTTCGACTACTTTATTTATTGGGAGAACGTAATTTATAGTTATTTTGAAGCAAAGAATGCTTTAGCCATTATTAGCGAAAAAAAGAAAGAAAGAAAAGAAGGAAGGAAGAAAGAAAGAGAGAAAGAAAGAAGAAAGAAGAGAAAGAAGCAAAAAAAAAAGAAAGGAAAAAAAAACATGCAAATAAATAAAATATATACGTATAAAAACGAGAGAAATTTGTTTTTTTTTCTCTAACAGTATATCAGTATATCAGTTGCTTAAAAAAAGCTTTGGAGAGTTGTATTCTCTATTCTCAAAAAAAAAAAAAAAAAAAAAAAAAAAAAAAAAAAAAAAAAAAACTAAAAAAAAAAACAAAAAAACATGATTTTTAATGCTTAGTGTCAATTTAATTTCCAGTGAATGTTAAATAGAGTGCTTTCAGGATTTAGCTATAAATATGAGAGTCATTATTTTTAAAGCATTAAAGACGGGTAATGGTTTTCAAAATTACAAAATAACGACGGTTGCAATTAGGAGCCTTCAACCTGTTCTTGGTATATAAACTCCGAACTCGTATATCATAACCCTTAAGTTTTAAACTCTCTCAGATAGGTTTGCTCAATAAATTAACCAGTTACTATGAACAGTATGATTAGATCATATTACATTTTTAAAGAATTTTCCTGAAAATTTTACTAATCTATTATCATATTTTGAAACTATTCATCGTATTTCCATCGTATTCATTTTTTCAGCTATCATATTAATTCATAGTTTTGTAATTAACACATTCCCTACCATTTCAATAATTAAGTATGCTATTTAATTTTTAAACAAAGAACTTAATCATATATTAAAATCGTTTACAGTATCGCCAATAGTTAATTTTTGCTAAAAAATGGCTGCATTATTAATTTTATGATAATTTTAAATTTATCTGATAAAATTAACATTTACTAATAGTTTAAATTTAATGCAAAATCTAGGATTAAAATCTCACAGGCATTTTTGACAATAAACTAAACTACTAAAATTTTTATCGTTTTCATCTAAACTACCTGATTTTTGTCACGATCAAACATTGTAAAAATTTGAAAAATAAACGTTAATAAACGTTAAAAATAACGTTAATCTGGAGATGCCCATACTTCTTACGAAACGTCTTGACTAAAATTTGTTCAAATTTTGCTTCCACGTAAAGGGTAAAATTAATTTTGTGGAGTTCAGTGCCAAAACGATGATTAAAATATTCCGATTTTTTCATGATTTTATTCAAACAATTTTAAATATATTTAAAATATTTTCATTGCTTTATCTACATAATTTAAAAGGTAATGAAAGACTTTGGACAAAAAAAGCAGAAAAAAAACTCAAAATTGCCTTTTAACATTGATTACTTTTCTTTGGTAAAATATTTTTTGAAACTCTGAGGGTTTTTTCTATCGCAGATAGAACTTTGGCCTAAATGTTTCTGATAATTTGAATGTTATACTTAATAAAACTACACATTGGAATATATGTCTTAGAAAGTATTAAAATTTTTGCAGCATGTTTGTACTGGTATGACCAGTACTTTTGAAATAATTATGCAAAAATAAAAAAGTTGTAAGAATTTTGAAATTGTGCAACTTTTAAATTGCTTTCGAAATTTATAAAAATGGGAGAATGTTACTTATTTCGAAAATAAATTATTGATAGTCATTTATACGTGCTTCTTAACCTGCAAAAAGTAAATAATTTTTTTTTTTTTATTTGAAACTAATATTCTAAGGGTACCATGATCCTTAAAAAAATAAAAATTGAATTTGCAATAAAATTTTTTTCTAAAATAGTATTTTTTATGTGTGCTGGTCATTAAAAGTATGTAAATAATTTTTATATTTTTCATTATTCATTTAAAACCGTATGAATTTTTCATGTTTCGGATTATCACAATACCATAAATGAATATATTTTTTAATGAAAAAAAAAAGTCTTACCATGAATACCATTCATTCTATAGTGATAGTGACTGCCGGAAGCGATAAAGGAATATGGAGAATGTTGTGGTCCCATAGCTTCTGTTCCAACATGTCGAGGCAATAATGATTCACAAGATTCAGCCGGTGCACCCCGGGGGAATGCCAGACTGCTTAAGGCACAACAACTGACTATGATCAGTAAGAGCATACTATCCACTGACTGAGACATCAATTGGACCAAAACATTCGTTCTTCCTCCGTTAGTAGGTTAAGGGAGCTGTAACTCTAAATTTAACCTATTTTGTATATTATAACGCCCAATTACCTTTGATCATAATTAACGAAAGGTGAAACGACTAGTGGGTGTTAACCATCTCATGTTTGAATTTCTGTTTTGAATAAAAAAATGCATATAATTATTTTTGACGTCTAAGAAATATATAATTTGCGAAAAAAATAAATAAAAGAATAAAATAAAATGATAATGGAAAAATAATTTCAAAGAATATTGAAAATTACTTTTGGGAATTCAAACATGTATTTATTTATTGGAACACACTAAGATAGAAACTGTCTTCCTATCTTAGTGTAGAAAAAAAAAGCATATAAAATTTTCTACCTGCATTGCAAGGTTAGAAAAAGAACAAAATTTGTTTTAATTAAGTCTTTTAGAGATGTTTATAAATACTATTTAGAGAAGTATTGAGATTAATGCGACTAATTAGGATTTGTTCGGGATGTTTCTAAAATTATATTATCTCAAAACACTGAAAATATTTAACATAATTAATTAAACTAAAGAGTCTCAAAAGTAGACTCTTTATGCAAAAAGTTGTTTTAGAAGAGCCTCATTAAGTGAATTGGGAGTAAGAATACAATTTGCGGTTCATTACATATATGTTAACTATAGAATTTAATGCTAACCTTCAAATAACCACTTTGTTTTTGGGCCATGGATAACTGCTCTCTTCCTGTGTTTAATATTTTTAATTGATTTTGTTGTAAGTTGATTTTATAATAATCTGTTCAAAAAATAATGTATCGAAATTTATTTTAGGTAAAATATATCTGTATAATTAGATAGACCCCAAGTAGAAAAAGAACAGGAAAGAGGCTCATACTTACTTACCTATGTAAGATTTTTGGATCAATGGGAGTTTATTAATTTGGAATTTAAAGATCGAAAGATGCAAGGGCAGGGAACTGGCGAGATATATTTGTGGACAAAAAAGGTTCATAGCACGAAGGGAATAAATAGGTAATTTAGGTAAGAAGCTAGTTTATCTGTAAGGCTGGATTAAAGACTAATTATTTTAATTTGAGAATACTATTTAAAAAGAAAATGCTTTCATGATTTAACCATGAGAGCTACAATTTTTATGTTATTGTAGGTTTCCGAAATGATTCTAACAACTAAAATTAGAATGGATTTAATTTTAATAAAAGAAATAAAGAAATTGGGATTAATGGGTTTTGCATTGAATTCTTTTTTTTTTGTATAATATAATGAAATTAAAATTCACATATTGTCAAAAATGTTCTAAAATCAGTTTTGTTAAGTTTAAAAAAGCACAGACGCAGCATTAATGAAGAATAACGCCACCTACAATAATTTTTTTTACAATCTTACACTTTTAACATTTTTATTTCGTAGTATTATACAAATTTTTGGTTAACAAAAGCACATATCATCTTAGTTTCGAGATTTAATAATGGTGTACATTTTAACTTTGCATGTTGCTGATTTTGGACGATTTTCTTTATCTTTTTTACAATGGGATTGGGACAAAAAAGCAAAAATTAAAGTCAGTTTTGAAAAATAATGAACTTAAACTAAAAGAAAAACATTTAAAACTACAGAAATCGGGCATGAGAAGATTTTCACCCCCAAGAAATTACGTTGCGATCTACAAAAAAATAACTATATAATGCAGTGGTGTACTAAAGTTTCAGCTCAGTTTGTTGAAATTTTAATTTGATTACAATAAAAAAATTATTTGCAATTCAAAATAGCCCTATGTTTATAATAGCCATATTCATACCCCAAAACAGTATTGTCTTTATAAGTATTTTTTTAAAAAGATTTTTGATTCTTTTTAAATTTATATATAAGAACACTAAAAACAGCTAAGAAAGTTACAAAAAATAAATAGGTTGGCTATTTTTTCCCCTTACTGCATATCAAATTTTTAAGAAATAATTATGATAACTTAAAAAATGTTTATAGAATTTCCACAAAAATGTTTTTCAATTACTGACGATTACTTATTTATAGACAATTACCCGTATCCCTTACCAATAAAAAATGCCTTGTACCTTTATAAAGAGGTTAGAATAAGAGTTGACTTAAAAATTAATAAATTTTATTTCTGTATAGTATGGCCATTTTTTTAATCTTATTCGAACTCATTGAAATTGTTAGGAAAGAAAAAACCTTACATAAAGGAAAAGAATTCTGGTGAAATTACCCTACTGCATGGCAATAAAAAGTATTTGGTAATAAGAATCATAATTCCGGTTTAAAAAATCAAATGTATAGTATTTAAATTATTCATTTGGTAATTTTCCTGTACATATGGTAAAGGTTTACAGTAAATTCCGCTTTTCAAAATTATAGTTCTTATTACTATACATTTAGAAAAAAAATATATAAACCTGAGAACCAAATTTAACCAAATAAATAGTTTTTATGCCATACTCTAAGTTATCATGATAAAATTTCCAAATTTTACCACATTAACCAACTTTTATCCCATATTATGAAATCAAACTTTATTTGTAATTTTATCAAAATCATTATCAAAGCGCTTCGGTAAAAATTTCCAAGATTCTTGGTGTTCCCATAGAGCCATAAACAGTAAATTTTACAGAATTAAGGTAATTTTAACCATATTTTTTTCTCAGGGTACCAGTCGTTGTGTTATTTACTTGATTTTCGTTTTGCTTGATTTTCGACATTAAGATGAGTTAATTACTGGCAGTGATTCATAACAATCTTTATTTATCACATTCTTCTGCAATCCTACAGACACACAGAGCAATCTTTCATTATTGATTTTTTTATGCAATTAAATCTAACATTTGCAATCATCCTACATAATGAGAAGAACTCACAACAGGAGTTATTTATACAGTTTAAATGATTTACATGAAATTAATCAATATTTATTTTCTTCGTAATGAAATAAAGTAAAATTAACGATTAAATAAAAATAATGAGCCGTAAGCGAACGATATGAGTCTTCTACACTCTTAATTTTGGATTAATTAAAAGTAACTCTTAATTTTGGATTTGGAATAACATTATTATTTTTAAATTATTTTTCTAATTGACTTTGTATTAACATATTTTGTTAACACTTTTACAATATTTTGTATTGGAATAATTTTTAAGGAGAAGAAAAATTAAATTAATGCTTCATATTATTTTTATTAATGAAAAATAGTAAAACGGAATTTTTGTGATAGTTTTAATAATAAAAACAAGCGAAATAGCATTTTATAACTAAATTTCGTTTGATTAAAAAATTAAATTTTTTATGAACCAAAGACATGCATAATAGGACTAAAAATAGGAATACTAGGAATAAAAATATTTGGATTGAAAAATTTTACACTGTAAGAAATTCCGAATCAAATTCTGGTAAAAAGTACTGCCTCTCAGGGTGCCGGTGCTTTTCATCGTAAAATTTCATATTGCGGAACAAAAAATCTGATATATCGTGATTTTTACAGTAATAATTACTGAATCATAGAATCACTAAACCTCTAACTAAATAAATATAACTTTAAAAATTATGGTATAATATTTTACGGCAAAAATGGATTTTACAGTAAAATTGGCTTTTACGGATGATGTATCCAAAGTGCCGTAATTGATACCGTCGAAAATTTGATACCGTAAAATTTGATACCGTAATTTGATCCAGAATTTTTTACAATGTTATTTTGTAAGAGCGTTTTTTTTTACTTTGAAATTATTGAAATAATGTATTATAAATATTATAAACAGTTAGCAATAGTAAAAACAAAATTATATCTCTGTGTATACCACTGATAAGTTGCATGTAAAAGATATTTGAATAAGTATGTAACATTTTATTGTACTCATTTACATCTTTGCGATTCCTTTGCACTTACTGACTGCTTTAACCTTTTTTTATGTTACAATTGTTTTTATTCCACAAACTTTTAAAATTCTATGTTAATATTCATTCTATGAATATTCTAAGTCTGTTAGTGGAAAATTGTTCTTATTCTGATTAATAATGAATATTTTTGACCTTTTAATTGAAAGTTGTTCTTATTTTGAGTAATAATGAATATTTCTGACATTTTAGTTGAAAGGTATTCTTATTCTGATTAATAATAATGATCAAAGGTTGATCAGCTAAATATTATGCTTGTTAAAAATTTACTTTTAGAGTTTAAAATGTTCTTATATGCATGTATTGGTAAAACTTATGTAGAAAATAATGGAGTTTTCTTTTTAGCCCGTTTATGTAAAAGGAATTAAAGTCAGACTATCTTCTTAAAAAAAAAAAGCTACTTTTAAAAACGTTCTTTTCATTCTTTAAAAGTAATTATTATAAAACATTGAAAAAAGGAATTATATAGCTATAACATGAAGAAAATCTTTAAGTTTACTTTTTTTTCTGTATAATGTAGGTGAAAACTTAGCTTTTGCGAAAAATATGAACATGAATATTTTAAATGAGTTTATTGTTTGATATATTACTAACCTGTCAAAAACTATACATCTTTTTTACAAATTGTCACGCATTTTTTTGAGATAATATTGGTTTTATGGTTTCAAAAGTTTGATCTAATATTATTCATCATATTTTGTTTAGAAAACATAGAGTAGCCTATAGGCTTATATAAAGGAAAAGAAATAGAAGATTTGACGTAATAAATCATTCTAAACGTCTATCTATATGAATATAAAGTGATTCTTTCTATATTTCTACTTTTTAAAATAACATGAAAATAAATTGCATTTTTCCTCAATTAATTTCAAACGAAAATGGGAAAAAACAATGATATGATTCAATTATATTTAACAACAGTTAATATATATATATATATATATATATATTGCGCACTACTTTATTTTAGGTTAAAGAAGCATGGTTTATTTTTAGCTGCTATTTCTTTTAATGCAGTTTTTATATTTAAAATAAATAAAACGGTTTTAAAATTGTTATTTCTA